TCTCCCGATAATTCACGAAGGTTCGAGAAGGACGTGTCGTGATACTAGTCACGTGACCTCGCTGACGCAACAATATGCTCAGAATGTCTGTTTACAAATATAGTACTGGAGACGTTCTGTTGAGATCACCTTCACACTTTCACCAATGCCATTACCTAAAATAACCTACAAAGACACAAGAAAATCAAATTTAATATTCTCATTGTTATAATGACATCGACTTGAGGGACACCGGTTTAGAAACTGTGGTCTTGGGTACATTTCACGTACACAACACACACACAAAACCTCTTAAAGAATATAAGAAGAAGAATTATTACAATAAGGTTATTTTGCAACTTGTTAAGTTAATAACATTCTTTAAAATATCTTAACAAATAAGTAGAGAATTCGAAAATCTTCCGTTTTGAACGACTGGTATTTCCGTTTTACGATTCAAAATCCTAAGTGAGGGTAATGACAGTTATCAATATTATTAAACGGGGGGGGGGGGGATTTGATAAGTAGAATTCAAGAAGTCAGCACGACTTGTTAATAGTGTGCATCGGAGCGTACACTTTTTAAATACAATACAAAATATTATACGTGTGGGTAATAAAAGTTTTAGTAGGGCACGTATAGGAAACTTGTGCCTTTAGTGACTGCGTTCATGAAATTCAATCACTACGGATTAACACCATTTCTAAGATGGTGGACAATGCACCAAGCGTCACTTGTTTGTTAGCACTACTACTACGCTTCATTGCACAATAATATATTCCGTACGTAACGCAATTATGATTTTTAGAGATAAGATAACAATGAACAAATGACTAGAACGTATCTGATGAACCAAACAACATAACTATCACTCCTCGGATAAAATTGTAGCTTGATTATGAAATTTAAATCTTTAGATGTGTTTTTCGAGAAATCTTATATTTTGGTGCTCAGAATAATTATTTTTAAACACATAAGTGTTACAAAAATGTTACTTAACACAACAAAAATTAATACTGTGCGTTTTTTTTTTTTCTTTCTTGTACTTATTTTGACGTATTTGTTGCTGCGTTATGAACATAACTTGTTCTTAAGGTAAGAAGTTAGAACTAGAACA